GAGACTGGTCTCTAGAATCTGTCTCAAGTTCTCTAGAACTTGCCATCTCCTGCCTCAGCCTCCAAAGCAGCTGGGTGATTCCAGGCAGGCACCACTGCACCTGGGTCTTGTTTTCTTCTAATAGTTTTACAGTTTTGTGTTTTATATTTAGGTCTATGAATTTTGAGTTAAGTTTGTGAAAGGTATATGTTTTTCTACATGTCAATGTCCTGTTCCGACGTTGTTGAAAACTTATCTTTGTCCATTGAATTGCTTTTGCTCCTTTGCCAAAGATCAGTTGGTTATTCCTGTGTAGGTTCATTTCTGAGCTTTCTGTTCTGTTCCATTGATCTATTTTTTTTAAAAAAAATATTTTATTAGTAGTTRGTGGGCCTTTATTTATTTATACATGGTGCTGAGAATCGAACCCAGTGCCTCACACGTTAGGCAAGCACTCTACCACTGAGCCACAACCCCAGCCCTCATTGATCTATTCTTTAGAAATAGGACTTTTTTTTTTTTTTTTTTTGGCCGTAGTGGGGGTACTGGCAATTGAACCCAGGGCACTCAACCACTGAGCCACATCCCCAGCCCTATTTTGTATTTTATTTAGAGACAGAGTCTCACTGAGTGGCTTAGCACCTCGCTGTGGCTGAGGCTGGCTTTGAACTTGGGATTCTCCTGTCTCATCCCCCTGCGCCCCGCCCCCAGCCACTGGGATTACAGGTGTGCACCACCATGCCTGGCTAACAGAGCTCTGAATGTTATAGATTTTAGGTAAGTTTTGAGGTTGGATAGTATCAGTCCTCTGACTTCATTCTTCTCCTTTAATATTGGGTTGGCAACTCTATAGATTTTTTTCCTTTCCCTAATTTTTTTTTTTTTTTTTTGGCGGGGGGTACTGGGGATTGAACTCAGGGCCACTCAACCTCTGGGCCACATCCCCAGCCCTTTTTTGTATTTTATTTAGAGATAGGGTCTCACTGAGTTTCTTAGCACCTCGCCTTGCTGAGGCTGCCTCAGCCTCCAGAGTTGCTGGGATTACAGGCGTGTGCCACCGTGCCTGGCCTGTCTTTCCATAAATTTTAAGATCTGTTTGTGATAGCCACAAAATTAACTTGCGAGGATTTGGATGGAGAACACATCCATTCTATAGTTCAAGTTGGAAAGAATCTTTTAACAGTAAGGAGTTTTCCTATTCATGAACATGAAAAGTCACCCTGTTTATTTAGATATTTGCTTTTTTTTTTTTAATCAAAGTTTTTTTTTTTTTATATGGATCTTGTACGTATTTCACTGGGTTTATAGCTAAATTTTGGGGGTGCTAATGTGTTTTTGAGTTTAGGAATTTTAATTTCTAATTGTTAATTGCTGGCATATTAGGAAAGCAATTGACTTTTGTATGTTAACCTTATGTCCTGCAAACTTGCTGTTAATTCTAGGGGGGTTTTCTTTGGCATTTTCTATAAAGATGATTGATTCTGTCATCTTGTTATTTCTTCCTTTCYAATCTATATACTCTCCCCTCCTCTGGTTTTTTCTTTTTTTTATTGTATTTTGATGTTGAGTAGGAGTGGAAAGAGAGGATATCCATACCTGATAACCTTGTTCCTAATCTTGAGTGAAGAGCATCTAGTTTCCCAATATCAAGTATGTTAACTGTAGTGAGAGGTTTGTTTTTTATTTTTTATTTGTTTGTGGTGCTGGGGATCGAACTCAGGCCTTTGGGTATGCAAGGGAAGCACTCTACCAATTGAGTCATATCCCCAGCCCTGTTTTTTATTTTTAATCATGAGTGGCTGTTGGATTTTGTTAAGGTTTTTTTTTGTTTGTTTGTTTGTTTTTCCCCTTTGGACACAGTATTGGGGAGAGAACCCAGGGATTTGTGCATGCTACGACAGTGCTTTATCACAGAGCTACAGCCCCAGCCCACATTAATTGACTTGAATGTTTAGCCAGCTTTAATGCCTGGAATCTCACTTGTTCATGATGTATACCTCTTTTATATCATTGGATTGTATCTGCTGACATTTTATTCAAGATTTGTGTATGCATGTTCATCAGAGATATTCATCTGCAGTTTTCCTTTCTTGTGGTGCCTTTGCTAGTTCTGGTACCAGATAATGCCAATCTCAGTTCCTTAGGAAGAGTCCTCTGCTTCTGTTTACTGGAAGAGATTGTAAAATTGGTGTATTTCTTCTTTATCAAGGGTTTGGAAGAACCCAGTGGTCTGGTCTGGTACTGTTTCAGTTTATTAATTATTGCTTCATCTTATTTAACACTGACATGGGCCTGTTCAGATCATCTGTTTCTTCATGTTAGTTTTGGTAAATTGTATCTATCAAAGAATTTGTCCAGTTCATCTAGTATATCAAGCTTGTGGGGATAGAGTTTCTCATACTCTTCCTTTATTACCCTTTCAATGTCCCTGGGATCCGTAGTGATGGCCTAACTCATTTCTGATACTAGTAATGTGTCTCCTTCCTCTCCTCTCCTTTTCCTTACCCTGGCTAGAAGATCAATTTTATGGATCATTTTGAAGAATCAGCTTTTGGTTTTCTCTATTGGTTTCCTTTTTTCAATTTCATTTATTTCTGCTCTTAATTTTATTTCTTTTCTGCTTCTTACTTTGAATTTGTCCTTTTGTAGTTTCTCAAAGGAAGCTTAAACTGTTCATTTTTTTTAGTATGTRCATCCAATACTATACATTTTCCTCTATGCTCTGCTTTTGCTGCATTCCATAATTTTGTTAAGTTTTAGTTTAAAATATTTAATCTCGAGAATCCCCCTTTGAAAGCATGTTGTTTAATTTCCAAGTGTTCTGGAACTTTCCAGTTATCTTTGTTATTGATTTGTGGTTTAATTCCATTGAAATCTGAGGTCATCCTTTGTGTGATTTCTATTCCTTTACATTTGTTAAGGTGCATGGGGTAGAATGGTCTTGATGAATGTTCCGTATGAATTGAAGAAGGTGTATTCTGCTGTTCTATGAACTGTTTTATAAACATCAGTGAGACCCAGTTGGTTGATGGCATTATCCAGTTCAAATACATCCTTACTGATTTTCTGCCTGCTGGATCTACTGGTTTCTAATATTGGGTGACTGAAATTACCAATTAATGATGGATCTGTCTTTTTTCCCCCTTTTCCTTTGAGGCTTTGCTTTGCTGTAGGTGCATAAACACTAAGGACTTTTTTTTTTTGGTACTGGGGGTGGAACTGGGGAGGGGTGTTTAACCACTGAACCAGCCCTTTTCATTTTCAGGCAGGGTTGCTTAAGGGCTTGCTAAATTGCTGGGCTGACCTTGAACTTCCATCCTCCTGTTTCAGCCTCTGGAGAGAGCAGCTGGGATTACAGGCATGTGCCCCTGCCCTGGCTGCCCTTCTGTCCTTGTACTTAAATGGGTTTTGTAAACAGGATAAAGCTGGGTCTTGCTTTTCAGAACCCACTCTGACAGTCTGTTTACGCCATTGGCATTTAAAGTGATTTCAGTCAACCATGCTGGTGACTGTTTTCTGTCTGTGGCGCTTGTTCTTTTTTCCGCCACATGGTGAAAGGTTATGTGTGAAAAAGGCCTGTGTAGAGCTAAGCATCCAGAAAGGGTCACCTCAGATGGACCTTTGGATTGCTTTTGGCTGCTTCCTGTTTGGGAAATTTCCTACTGTGTGTATTTTTGTGGGTATTAATGCTTATTGTTTTCCACTGAAGAAACTAAATGAGCCACTCTCTTTATTCTTTAGCATCCAGTACTGGGATGCATCCAGACCTGGGCTTGGCCAAATGGGTGTTCTTGGGTTAATGGTATTGTCCTGCAGCAATTTAGAACTTTTTATTAAAGAAAAGCAGATAGTAGAGAAATCCTGCTTGACTTTGATCTGGGTTCATTCTTTGTAAATTCAAATGTCATGTCTTCCTGTAAGTATCACAAATCATGTTTTACAAGGGAGAACCAGAGAATCATAGTTTTGTCACTGGCTGTGCTACATCCCCTCTCTGAGCTTTCCTTTATAATTTAAAATGGGCTTATGTAATAAGGTACATTAAAAACACCTAGCTCATAATAGATGTTGGTGGCAAATGAACCAACCTTATACTTTCTCCTTTTAGTTTTTCAAGGTCTTTGTTTGACTAGACTATGCGGGATGAGGAGGTGCCAAGAATTACTTAACTTTGGCCTCAARTGTTATTATTATCCTTGACTTGATTTGTTGTCTAGAGGACGCAGTGCACTGCATTTAACCCTCTAAGGAGCCTGGGAACTACTTCAGTGGTAGAGCACTTGCCTATCATATGTGCAAGGCCCTGGGTTCAATTCCTAGCACTGTAAAACAATACCTCTAGGGGTTTTGTTCAGAAGTCTCTTGGCTTAGACATGAACACTACTGGTGGTCACCAGTCAGTATCTGGCCCACAGGTTCTCAGTATTTATATGGTCCAAGCTCAACCCACCTGTCCAGTGCCTGGAATGGTACCCAGCCTACAGAAAGCACTCCGAATGCTGATCTTACATTGGGGTGGCTGGATGGTATGCTGATCACGAAAGTGAAGATTCATAGCAAGTTCAACCCAAAGCACCGAAGAAACAACTCTATGCGACAACTCACTGGTGATGCTGATTTTCCAAATGGCTTCTTTGGAATTTGAATCCCAGAACCATAAATTCTGGGAAACTTGTTTTTATTCTGCAGAGCAAGATAAATCCTTGGGAAGTGCTGACCATGGGTTAGCCCAAGGAACAAAACAGCCATGACAAACTTTTTGTTAAGGAAGGAGAAATTAAGTTACCTCAGGAAATGCAATTGTGATTCAAGCACCATGAAATTTTGTCAAGCAAAAATAGTCTTTATTCAAATTTAATGGAAACAGGGGTCACTATACTTTGCAAGACGGGGAAAAATAAAATTAAAAAAAATTCTTTTCTTTTTTTTTTAATATAAAACAATATAATCACAATACCAGAATATGGAACTCTACAGTTTATTTCCTATGGGTTACTGCAGGTATCAATTTTCCTCGACTGTGCTATTCACAACTTTGTTAGGTCCAAAAATATGAAACCAAAATGGTAGGAAACTGAAGACTTAGCACTTTCACTAAATGGCATACATCAAAGGGAGTCAATTCAAGGGCAAAAATGGTTGAACTCACCATACCTACCTATGCCATCATTCCAGCCTTAAAGCCGTCCAGGTGCCGAGCTCCCTGTGGGAAAGGCCAGGCCTGAGAGCCGAGGCATTTTGGATATTCTACTGTGGGCCATGAGGGAAGGGGGTTTTAAAGATTTTTTTTTTTTTTTTTCAGTCGAGCAGGAAGGCCTGGCGCCAGGAGGCTTTACTGAGAGGAAGCACTTAGATTTAACAATTATAGACACACCATTAGGGGAGTTAAAAATGTACAGCAGTGACGTAGGTTCTACTTCAATCACTTGTGCTACGGCTACCAAACATGTACAAAAGACTTCCCGGGTAGTTCCAGCCGTGGTTGTAGCCAGTTAGGACCTTGAGTGGGACCGAGATCGAGACCGGGAGGGCGACCTGGAAGCAGACCTGGATCGAGACTTGGACCGAGATCGGGTTTTTGAAGCTGACTTTGATCTGGAGCGTGATTCTGATGGCGGGTTTGGTTTCGATTTGGAATTGGATCTCGACCTGGACCGGGTCTCGGGCTTGGGGGCAGCAGCTTCACTCTCTCCTCTGCCTTCCCTCTGGGCAGACTCGGCCTTGGCATGTTCCCGCTCCTTTGACACGGAGCGAGACGGCGACCTGGACTGCGAACGGTCCTCTTCCTTCTTCTTTTTCTTGCTGCTGCTGCCGCCTGACTTGCTGTCGCGCTTGCTGCTGCGCTTCCTGCTCCGCTCGCTCTTGCTGCGGCTGCGRCTGCGRCTGCGGCTCTCCTCTCTGCTTCTCTTCCTGCCCTTCCTCTTGTCTTTGCTTTTGCTGCGGCTCCGGCTGCGRCTGCCCCCTTTGCTCCTGCTCCTGCTGTGGCTCCGGCTCTTGAGGAGGCTCTTCTCCTGGCTCCGGCCCTTCTCCTGGCTGCGGCTCCGGCTCCCGCGCTTCTCCTCCTCTACCCTCCGCTCCTGGCTGCGGCTCCTGCTTTTGCTCTTACTTTTATGGCGGCTGGGACTCCGGCTCTTGGGTTTCGCGGTGCTGTCGCTGTTCTGGACTTTGTCTTCGGCGTGGTCTTTGCTCTTGCTGCGGCTCTTGTCGGCGCTGCGGCTGCGGCTGCGGCTCTTGTCATCCTTGCTGGGGCTCCTGCTTTTCTCCTTCTTGCTGCGGCTGCGGCTCTGGCTGCGGCTGCGGCTCTTGCTCCGGGAGTGGGAGCCTGACCTGAGGAGACACGGGGTGACGTCACTCCTCATGTAATCAGGAGAGGAACAGATCCGGGGCTCTGCGGAGCTCACCCCCCAATATAAGAGCTAGCTGCCCGGGAGGAGGACGGTCTTCTGGACCCCCCACAATTCTAACGTGGACCTGGAAAAGCCAGGCTGAGGGGGAAGGGCCACTCAGCTAAAACCCAAGGGAGACACGGTGCAGTGCTCCCTGCTGACACCCGCGTGCCCCAGGCAGACCCACCTGGACCGGGATCGGCTCTTAGAATGACTGCTTTTGCTACTGCCACTTCGGCTTCTGCTCTTCCGGGAATGTCTGCTCCGAGAGCGAGACCTGTGGGGAGAAAAAAAACTGTTCTTAAAATTGCTGAAGGGCTGATTTAGATTCAACCAAGACATTCTTTCAGTCGTCTGGGCACATTCACCATTGTGGTCTAGGCCCACAGGCCCAGTCCCCCTGAAAACACTAAAGCTTGTCCCACCTCTGATCCGGAGCCCACAGCTCCCCCGCCTTTGCTGGGTTCCTTATCTCCACCAACACTACTGTGATTTGCCCAGTTCCTCACACCAGAGGCCTCAGTGATCCCTGACCCCAACTCTCACACCCTGACGTCTTGCCTCCTCCACCTTCTGCCATCTACCTGTGGCCTCTGTGTGCATCACCCTTCCCTGCCGCCATGAGGGCCTCCCATGTGCCTTTCTGCAAATGCTTCTGCCCTTCACCTGCCCCTCTCTGCCTCACTGTGACTTGTTTATTTATATGGTTCTGGAGATTGAACCCAGTGGTGCTTAACTACTGGGCCACATCTCATCCTCAGCCCTTTTTATTTTTAAACAGGGACTTGCTAAATTGCTGAGGCTGTCTTTGGACTTACAATCCTCCTGCCTCAGCCTCCTGACCTGCTGGGATTACAGGCACGTGCCACTGTGCTCGGCCACAGAGCACTTGTAAAAAGACAGACTCTCCAAAAGCTTTAGAAAACCTTTAGCAAGTCCAGACTGTGGACTTTCACTATTTCTACTGATGGTGACCAGTGTTCCTTAGGGAAATGACTTATCCCAGGTGCAGGGCAAGAAGCACACAAGATGGGCCTAGAACATCTCACTGTGACAGGCAGGAAAGTGTTCAGAGCCTCCTGGGCACCATCACCTATGAAGGACTTTTGCCAAAAATGTCTTAAGTTGTATCTTACTCCAGCCTCTATAGAGCTCCCTCTCAGCGTATAGGAAGTCCAGGGAAGAAGCTCTTAGTACCATGACACCAAGAAGAAACAGATCAATCCAGAATGTGGGACAGTATTAAAAAGCTTAAAAATAAAAGGAAAGGGGCCAGGGTTGTGGCTCAGTGGCAGAGCACTTGCCTACCATCTGTGAGGCACTGGGTTCAATCAAATAAATAGAAAACTTTACTTTTTTTGTAAAATAAATACATATCCCCTGCAACACAAAACAAGGTCTGTTGCGGGGTGGGAAAAAAACAAAACAAAAAAACGGTGGGGAGGATTATTGGGGGAAAAATGGTAGGTCTGTTCCAGGGTAAAAAGATTTAACCCTTTGTAATACGTGTCTGCATTGAATCCTGGTCAGGATAACAAAACATCCATGGAGCAACTAGGGAGGCATGAATATGACTTGGATATTAGGTGACTGATGAAATTACACACTGTTCATGTATTTAGCCAAGAACCTAGAACTGTGGTTCATCATCTTTAGAGACAAATGTATGAGGTATAAAGTGCTATAATTTCTGCGCTTTTTCAAATGTAAAATGTATACTGTGTATAAAAATACATATATAAGCTGTGTGTGGTGGCATATACCTGCAATCCTAGCAGCTCAGGAAGCTGAGACAAGAGGATTGCCAAGTTCAATGCCAGCCTCAGCATTGGTGAGGTGCTAAGCAACTCAGTGAGATCCTGTCTCTAAATAAATTATAAAACAGGGCTAGGGACATGGCTCAGTGGTTGAATGCCCCTGAGTTCAATCCCTGGTACCAAAAAAAMCCCCCAAAACATATACAAGCATGTATATGGGGGGAGGAGAGAGAAAGGAAACAAAGGCAAAAATACTGTTAAAGCCAGAAGGAGGGGCACACAGGTATTTGTGAACTAGTCTTTTATGTCAGAATAAAGTTTTGCGGGAGCCTGGCACAGTGGCACATGCCTATAATCCCAGAGGAGGAGGATCATGAGTTCAAAACCAGTCTTAGCAATAGCGAGGCACTAAGCAACTTGGTGAGACCCCGTTTCCAAATAAAACACAAAATAGGGCTGGGGATATGGCTCAGAGCCCCTGAGTTCAATCTCTGGCACCCCTGCCCTGCAAAAAAGGTATGGGGAAATAATAAAGTGCATAAAAATCAAACAAGACATGGATGGCTGAAGACACAGGAATCAACCTGAAGGATTCCACTGGCTATAGAYAGAACAATCTGAGGATTAAAATATTATGATGAAAAGATGAAACATCAAACACACGTGTAAGAATTCATTCCTAATGATTCTAAGTGATTACCCTCATCAATTTTGGAAGCTGCTAGGTGACACTAACATTCTACAAGTTGGTGAAGTCAGGATGGCTCAGGATGACAATTCACTGACAATTCATCCTACTCAAAGTAGGATGTAAAAATAGATCCCATAAACTGTATGACAGGGAGTATACACAAAGTGTTACCAACAAAGTGGTCCTGCTAAAATATGTCCTTTCTCTAATGCCTCGATATAATTTTCGCTGGGCATGGTGGTTCACAACTAAGATTCTAGCCTGCTCAGGAGGCTGAGGTTGGAGAACCTCAAGTTTGAGGTCAGCCCCACAGCCCCAGCAACTTAACAAGGTTAAAAAGGATCACAGATATAGCCCAGTGGTACAACACCACTGGGTTCAATCCCCAGACCACAAAACAAAGCCAAAAAAGGATCCAACTATCCAACTATGAGTTCACAGGAAATGTCGGGCCGGTGGGGCTGGGGGGCACAGGGGCCGAGAGAACGCGATGGGATTAAGGGCTATCTAGAYTTGCGTTAAAACAACAGATTAGGAGTAGGTGAGGCGAGATTGTCAAAATAACAATTATTGAAGCTGGGAATGGTAGTGGGAGTCAAAGTTCATTAAATAATTTTTCTCTAATGTTTTATATATTTGAAAAATTTTCCTTAAAAACAGTTTAAAAATTACAAAATCCAAATATCATGCAAGTCTCTAGTGATACTGATACATCCTAAACCCAGCTGATCCCTCTCCACCCTTGTCCCAAGGCACACCCACCTGTTCACTACTCATATTAGTCTTTCTGCCCTGGGAGAAATGCTGTCCCACCCCAGGTCTTCAAGAACACCCTTACTTCTGCTAGAACAACCCCCTTCTGCCCCACCACATCTACCCACTGTCTCTAATCCATCTTTTCGGATCAGCTTCTATAACATGTCCTTAGGGAAGCCTCAGCCAACTCTCCAGATTGGCGTGCTATATTTCCTTCAAAAAAACCCGTCTCAATGGCAATTATTTGCTTAATTTCTGTCTTCTCTCCAGGGCAGAGATCAGATTTGTTTTGCTCACCACTGTTTCCCAGATGCTTAGTTCCATGCCTGGCCTGTTGGCAGAGCAACTGCCAAATACAATAGTCTCTACTCTTGAGTAGCTGTTGTAACCAAGGAACCAGGGGCCATGCATGTCCCCCAGTCACCATATGATGGGGGCCCCCAGAAGAAAGGTAAAAGGCCACTGATTTCCTGCCTTAGAAAAGGGACTTTACTTCTGTTTGTACTCATGATGTAAGAAGAGTTTAGGAGTTTTACAAATAAATGTTCAGTTCAAAGTACTTAGTTATTGAACCACATGTAATCATGCTGCTCAGGACCCACAGGGGGAACATCAGYGGATCACCTGTGTGCTCATTAATGAACAGATGTGATAGCCAACACACAAAACACATTCTCAACAGTACCTTGAATGACTACGGCTCCTGGAGTAAGACCGGCGCCGTCTAGAACCTGGCTTGTCTTCAACTAATCTGATTTTTCTGCCATTGACTTCAGTTCCATCCAATTTTTCCAAAGCTCTTTTCATATCAGAATAAGATACAAATTCAATCACCCCTTCATTTTTTCGTCCCTTGTGAGCATCTGCATAGGTCACTTCTCCTGCCTGACGCATATAATCCTAAAGAAAAAAATAAAATTCTTGAGTATTAGGACACATTTTGCCAAAATACTTAATGTAATCATTGTAGTGAAATTTTCTTTTAAGAAATATGAGCTTCCCACAAATATTTCCATCTAACCTCCAAATACCCATTGAGATTTAAGCACTAGGCATTAAGTAGTCGGTAGAGAAAAATAAGTATGAAAATTTTCAACTGGGCATGGTGGCACATGTCTATAATTCCAGCGACTCAGAAGGCTGACCCAGGAGGATCACAAGTTTGAGGCCAGCCCCAGCAACTTAAGCTTAATCAAGATCCTGTTTCACTATAAAAATAAAAAATAAAAAGGGTTGGGGATGTAGCCCAGTAGTAAAGCATCCCTAAGTTTAATCCCCAACACCAAAAACAAATAAATTAAGAGAAATTTTCTTTAACTATAATTTTCTAAATTTTATAATGGCAAGTTCTTTCTTTACAGAAGCTCATGTCACTATATTTAAGTTAGGTCTTTTACATTTCACCATATATCTATGTTTGAAAACGTACAGATATTGGCAAAATATAAGCAAATCCATAGGAATTATAAAAACTGTTACATTGTCTTTTTTAAAAAATTTTTTTTTAAATTTATTTTTTAGTTTTCGGCGGACACAACATCTTTGTTTGTATGTGGTGCTGAGGACTGAACGCGGCCGCACGCATGCCAGGCGAGCACGCTACCGCTTGAGCCACATTCCCAGCCCTTACATTGTCTTTTTAATGAAAGTCTAAAAGGCAACAGAACTCTATTTCTTCTCTGGTTGAAAGTGGCATGACCATCCATGTCCCATCATGACCACAAGTCTCTTTCCTCATTCTCTTTCAGGACTCAATATGGTCCAGTGAGAGAATATAACTAAGCAATAAATACAGGCCAATGGCTAGATAAAGGAAGATACAATTAGTGTTTAAAAAAGAATATAAAATTTGGGTGAAATTGTAAACTTGAGCTTACTGCTAGCTTTCCCTCATTTCTTTTTTCTATTTTTTTTGTACTAGGGATTGGACCCAAGGGTGCTTTACTATTGAGCTACTTCCCCAGTACTTTTAAAATTTTGAGACAGGAACTTGCTAAATTGCTAAGGCTGATGTCAATAATCTTGTGATCCTCCTGCCTTCCGAGTCTGGGATTACAGGCTTGCACCACTGTGCCTTTTCCCCACATTTCTTTATATGTAATACACACTTGACAGGTATTTGTGGGATGAATACATTCAATGCTTTCATTTTGTATGTTTCTTTCCTGATTACAGTTACAAACACTGAATATACTTTAATATATTCTTTGCTCACTACATCATAAACATGCTTACATGTTTCAATATAAACAATTTCATAACTGCCTAATACATTTTCTAGGATTTCCAAACATGCTTACATGTTTCAATATAAACAATTTCATAACTGCCTAATACATTTTCTAGGATTTCCCAACTTTTTGATACTTTTAGGTTATACCCAGTTCTTTGCTATTATTCATAATCCAGTCAAGAACATCTCTATACAAGAATGTCTTTATTCAGCAGAATCATCTGCAGGAGAAGGGGTTCTGGGCAAAAGGGAGGGAGCCATCCAGACTGGGATACACCTGATGGTAAATGAGGATGCTGGTCACAGACCAAGACTGGGGCTGCTCTGGCAAAGGGAGATATGGGGTCACTCTGGTGAAAGACCTGAAGAAAATCACTTACTTTTGAGTTATCCTGCCATATCTCCAAAGTAGTAATAGCTAACATATCAAATGCTTACCATACTGTACAGCAAGTACGTTTTAGGTAACTCAGTCCTAATTAAACCACATGAGGTATATAATCATCACCTCCATTTTACATATGTAGAAAATAAAATACAGAGAAGTTAAGTAAACTGCTCAAGGTCATTCAGGTAGTAATGATCTGGGGCCTGAACATAACCAGTAAAACTGAAACAGGAGTAACTGGGATATAGGAGTGTGCACAGTTCTTGGTTAGACCTTAATTTTTAAAAATATTTTGTTGTAGATGGACAATAACTTCATTTTGTTTGTTTGTTTATTTATTTATTTGGTGCTGAGGATCACACCCAGTGCCTCACACATGTGAGGCAGGCGCTCTGCGCTGAGCCCTAGACCTTAATTTTTGATACCAAAATTATTTCAAGATAAATATTCCCTAAAAATTGAATAAGCCTTATGAAAGAACATAGGTTAGATAGTCAGTTTCACCTACGCAGATCCATACTGGAAACTGACATAAATTTCTATGTTATATGTCTCCAGAAGCATTGGGGATTCTGCCCTTTCTTTTTATGATGAGAAATCACACTAGAATCTCTCTGTAATACTGTCTACTGAGGAACATTTCACATAACATATTTGTCTTTAGAGTAATGGTCTAATAATAGTTTGAGTGAAATTCTGATATATTCCTATGGAAGCTTTAATTGGAGAATTTCCAAATATCTACTGAAGCTTTCAAACCTGTAACACCCTTATACCTGTGTATGCCTAGGCCCTCAAAAATTTACCTGTTTCCTAATTTAATGTCTGCTTAACTTTACCCCAGAAAGTTAGTGAGGCCCAAACCTTTAGGTCTTGCCAGCTGCATCGACTTGACAAATTCTCCACAATAAGTCTGTACTCTGTGCGGGTAGGAGGGCCATATTTATCTCGGCCACTTCTTCTATACCCATATCCACCTTTGGAAGGTTCAAATAAATAGGATTACTTCAATGGAGGAAAAGGAAAAGATGACATAGCACATACTTCTCTTAAAATATATTATTTACCCCCCCAACCTCAAACAATAGCACATATACTTTAACCCTAGCCCCACCCTTAATTCTGAACTAGATTTTTGAAAAGCTAAAAGTTAAATCTGAAAACTTAATTTACAAAGTTGTAAGCATATATTCATTAATATTTATATTTAAAATCAACATGCATAAACTAAAAACTATTAACAATTTAGAAGTAACCAAACTACTAAAACAGTTACTATTGTTACTCACAGTGATTAAAGTTTTTGAAAATATTATATATATATATATATAAAAAGATTTTCAGGCACCTATTTCAGTTTAATCTCATCTGTGTCTAACCCTTGGGATCCTCACCACCCAGGTCTAATGGGGAAAGGTTGCGGTCGTCACATGGCTTCCTGTTTTTGGTCAGCCAAGGGCCACAAAGGTTCAAAGAGCCACGCATGGAAAGGTAACCCAAGGTCAGCAAATGGAACAGGCAGTCATCTTAGCCTCAAAGGATTCTTTTAATTAAAACATTGAGGTCTTAGTTAAATCTATGTTAAACAATTGCATTACAGAGAAMAAAACAAAACAAAACACAAATATACATCATTAAACATATTTATAAAGTATTAAAACAAGAAATGTCATTAATTTAATTAAAATTAAACATTATCAAAGGTTTATTTGCAGTCTATATTTAAAAAGATATACAACTTATGAAACAAATGCTTTAAACATTGATACAACTAAATATAAGATTAATTAATTAATTACTGTAACAAATTAACATTTAATAACAAAAGCATGTCATTGATACAAATGTGCCCTTTAAATGCTTACTGCGTCCAGAACCGTAACTGCCGTCTCGCCGAGGGCCGCGGGCATGCTCAACAATTACTCGCTCACCACAAAGGTCTTTGCCATTCAGTTCATAAACAGCATCATCTGCATCACGCAGATCATCAAACTCCACAAAACCATATCTATAAGAGAGCAAACAAAATTCCGGTTGGCATCAGTTTGACACCCAGCTTCACATTCAAGAGAAAGCAATGAGGTTCATGCTTAGCAAAGGTTAGGTGGGTTTTGCAAACTAAGGGTCAAATTTATCTCCTCTTTAGATGAACCCACTTTGCTTTGTGCCAACAGGCACTGCAATAGGTAGGGACACTTCTCAAAGTAGACCCCTATTTTTCTAGCAGGAGGCTGGCTAAATGTACTGAGAAAACTTCTTTTGTTCCCCCAAGTAGTTGGACACAAGAGTAAAGACTTTGAAGGGATGTTTGGTAAAAGGCAACAAAATATTGAACTCCACAAGATTGAATGTTTGCTCTTCAAAACATCACATAAAAGCTCATCTTTTCTTATTTTTAAAAGCAATATCTAAGAGAACAATTATCTGAAGTAACATAGCAGGTAAAAAAAAAAAAATCACAGTACCTTAATCTCAGTGAAAGAAAAAAAAAAAAAATCCTGTTCCTCTATCCAAACAAGTAAGTCACAATCAAGAGTCCTACGAATTAACTGTTTTACAAATTATTTGTGGGGAAAAAAAAAATCTGGAGCTATTTACTTCCTGTGAGACTCCAAATTCATTTTAGAAATTTTAGACAGACTGAAGTTCTCTGAAATCTATATTCAACCATGAAAACTTCTTTACATTGTATAGCTAGGAATTTCCCAGCAAAGAGATATGGTGGTTTAGCACATATCCAAAAGAAAACAACCCCCCCAAATCCTATTAATGCCTACTACAGAGTACAATTTGTAAATTAAAGCACAAAATTTGCAAGATACTTAAGGCAAAGTTAAACACACACTAAACATTTAGTTTGGCCTAACACAGCTCTGAAGTCTTGCTTTGTGAATGCTGCCTATTATTTAAAAACCAAAAAACAATCTTACTGATCCTACCTAATCACAAAGGCAAGTTACAAGACTAGGTTCACAGGCAGACACTGACTAGTGTTCTTCTGCATATAAACATGCTGATACTAGAAACAGGCTACAAGACTTGCCAGAGAGTTACCCAGCCTGCTACGGAGAAAAAATAATYCCAGTTTCCAGTTTCTCCCACCTGTAATGTTGTATTGGTAACATATTAACCGAGAGAACTCAGATTGCTGAAATCTTTTACTAAAGAGTTATTTTCTATTTCAAATAAGAGTCTCTCATGGTGATAATGCTAGGTTACAAGGCATAGGTCACAGCTTTGGGGGGTTCTTTATGTTGAAATATCTGAGTAGAAACTTTAGGAGTCAGTCAATCTCAACTCCATTAAAAATCAAACCAGACACACCCATTTATCTAATAAGTGTTCTAATGTTCTGCATAAAGACAATCCAGAAGACACCTGGCCCAATTTCCAGGATGTAAAATCTTTATCACACTTCCATAGGCTGGAATTGCTGAGCAGTTTAGTAAGAATAATTGGAACATGCTGTTGTATTTGACAAGTAAACCCTCTCCAAATCACTGAYTTCCTATACTCAAAAGTGCTTTAGTCACTAAAAATCCATAATAGATAATATGTTATGGTTGCTTTCTCCTTTCCTAGGTAAAATGAATCAACAGGAAAGCTACCCTATTATTTTCTTTTTTTTTTTTTTTTACCCTATTATTTTCAAAGATAAAAAATTTTAAAAGCAATAAAAAACTAAATTTAACTATGCTGGTTTATCAAAAGATATTTATAATCCCTCTAATTAGATCATAAAATGCCCCCCCCCAAAAGCCCTCCCAAGACCAGTCTTGGGGTCTGGCGTCTGCTCTGCCTGCAGTATCCACTGTTCAATGCCATGTGGGAGCCTGACACCATGTAGCAAGGGATGAGAGAACATTCCTCACRGGCATGATGAAATGGTCTTCCTTCCCTTAAGACACTGGGTACCACTCAATGACCAGAATAGATCTAGCCCAAGATCAGAAGAGCACTGACTCCTGAGGATTAAACAAATACATCACAGAAAAATCTAAATTGTTTTATTCCAAAGAGTTAAGTTTATAACTATTCAGGGGTCCTGGAATGCAAGACCCTAATCTCTGCAGGGCAACCCAAGCTGCAAACCCAGCTATTGCGGAGGTCAAGTGATCCTTCCGTCAGACCCACACAAGAATGCACATTCGCAGACCTGAAAACCATCCTGCTCCAAGGCTTCAGGCAGAACTCACTCCAACCTTTCAGGGAAAGTAAGGACAATCTATTCAGTGGAGGCAGTTATTTAAAAATAAAAATTAATACTCTGATAGATCCATCTCTCTACAAGTTGAGGCTGAAGCTGCAGTAAGGCTCAATTTGCCAATAAAACTTTCCTGAGTTGTAGGAACAATTTGTGATGTTAGAGGAAAATAGCCCCTACAACCTTTCTGTGATATATTTTTCTAAAAAGTCCCAATAAGTGGGTCACTTAGGAGCCATATTTTGGTGAGTATCCCAGTCACTTATTAAAATAGCTAACTTAAGATCCAACTTATTTCACAGAAAAATCTGTGAAAAGCCACAAAATGTATGAAAAATTTTAATGTCAAAGTCCAGTCCAAGGATCAAATCAGGTACTTGACTGCCACCTCTCTCTGCCCACTGGCCATGTTGGACGGCTTTAGAAGAGTAAAACAAAAATCCTCCCACACAACAAATGAGAYCCAAGAGGGACTCCTGTTCTGAGAATAAAGCAAACACCAGATCAGTATGTGGTTGTGTCTACTACATTAATTGTTTATTTAGATCTGCTTTTCTTGAATGTACAATGAGCGGGTCCCCAAATAAAGCAGGAAGACTACATAGTAACAATAAAATGTTACCTATCACTTATTAAATAATCTCTTACACTAGAAAATGTTACCTTATTTATTATCAATAGCACCTAAGAGCCAGGTACTATTATTATTATCCCTGTTTCACAGATGAGRAAACTAAAGCACAAAGTTAAATAACTTGCATAAAAATCCCAGCAGAGCTGGCATTCAAATTCAGAGTTTGTGGCCTGATACCAGAGCTTACACTCATCACCATTAAGAATAGAGCAGCAAGCACTGGTCTATGCTTTACTCCTGGTTCTTTTAGAAATCAACTCTGAACATATATTTAATCATTTCACTTCTTTGGGTCTTAGTTTATTTGTGAAATGAAAGTACTGTACTATATATTTCTAAGGACTGTCCTAACAATATGATAGATGGAATGTTAAAATGCACACTCCTTTGGATTAAGAATAGACAATGTAAGCTCTAAAATTTGACTGGACTGGACCAAGATGGTAGCACCAGAGGCATACAAAAGCAACAGATAGGATAAATCTAGTCATCATCTAAAAAATATTTAAAAATCATGGGTCTCAAGTTTAAACATTTTAACTATCTTTGATTTAAATTTTAGTGCCTTCAAAAAACAATGCTTATACTAGTAACTAACCTCAGAGAATCTTAAAACAAACAAAAAACCTAAATACTACTCCCTTTGTGCTTTGTAGCAAATAACATGAAACTAACCTCTTCTCTCAAAAAGTACTCTTTTTGAATCTTTTGTCTAAGCAGGGAGGGATATAAAATACGTATGTGGATTACACATACTTTATTATATGTATGCATGTGTCTGTATTGCACATATGCCAATCTCTGGTGGGACTTATGGACATGCCTTACAAAATAACCTGAAGGTAAGTTTAACTGCAGACATCCTTCCTCTTCTGCTCTATTAAAAATGAACAGCTTTCAATAATTCTAGCAGGAGAATGAAGAGGATATGAAGAAATGGTGAATGAATCTTAGACAAAAATAAAAAACTCTTGTACAGAAGGAACTGACATAAGCACAAACAGCCCTGTGATATGCCTCGCCTTACTCAGATGCTACGCCTTCCGATCATTCTCCTTCATATGTAAAAGAACAGAAAGCAGGGCCTTACCACTAAATGCACAATACTCTTCAATTAAATGAAACAAAAACCAAACAACAAAAACCTCCTTTCTTCAACATTTTCCATTGACCACCCAAACTTCCCTCTGGGCATGTTCTATCCTGCCAAATTTAATCAAAAGAATGAAGGGAAGAGTTACTTTCTCTTGTGACTCTCACCAAGTCTAGACAGGTACCTGATACCACAAAGCAAAGCCACAATGCCTTATGTGGGCTGTTCTAAACTCAAGTCCATTCTTMTCCCTGTGCAATGCTCTACTCCCCTTCATGCCACAGCTGATGTCAGGTCATCAGTCAGATCTCTGAAGGCACAACGGGAACGACATTTTCAAACTAAGGAACTCCAAGCCTTCCATTTTAGAAATGTGAATGTCACTCTACCCTGAATCATTGCCTAACAGGCCTTCTCTTATCCTAATACCTGATCCCAGTGGTCTCGGACACCACCAGGCCTGTCCTTTTCTCTATATGTTCTACTTAAGAGGATGTGGAGTTTACCTCACCCTCTCCAGAATGGCTTAGCTTCTAACCATCTTCACTAAACAGGGAGCCTAGAGAACAGTCTCATCTAAGAAATGATGAATGGGGTTTGCTCTGGAGATGGGTCATCAATGGCTGATTGGGCAGGGTGTGACTGAGGGGGTGCTTGATACCAAAACCTGCAGGGCAGTGGACATGAGGAGCGGGGAAAGCAAGCCTCCATGCGTGACCATGGTCACCCACCAACACTGCTTACCGAGGGGCATGCCTTGGATGTTCTTTCTATAAGGAAAATGTGCCCCTTTCCACGGTGGATCTCCGCTCACCTTTGTCCTAAAACTGTGCCACATGCTTTTCTTTGTATGTGGACATGACAGTCCTCAGCCAACCATCAGCAGGATGTGAGTTTTGTTTTCCCAATGTGGTGAGCCATTCCCACATTCACTCATTTCCTTGTAAGAACCGAACCTCTCCATGGCTGGTCAGGATTAGGGATGTTGCTGTAGCCAAGGAAAAATTTTCATCTGTTGAAGTTAACCCACGGGGTGGCTTGAACCCTCAATCTAGAGCCAGTAGTACTGTATTTTAA